TTCAAATAGTTTTCCACACGTTTCTTTATCTGGTTGCTATTTTCACCTGAGACAAAGTATTCATCGACAATTACAGGTATGACTAGCTTATGTCATAGTAAAATACATAAATTATTCGGTTCTGATCATATTATATATCATTTGTTTTAGATACAAGGTTTACAAAAGCAATATGAAGAAAATGTTGACTTCGCCCATGGTATACATAAAATTGCAGCATTGACATTTATTCATCCAGATAATGTTATTAATGCATTTACCGATCTTAGTGTTCATCTGGATGATACATTTCAAATTATGTTGGATTATTTCGAAGATAATTATATCGGTCGTTTTCGAGCAAATGGATCACGTACACGACCACTATTTCCTATTGAATATTGGAATGTTTATGAACGAACTAAAAATCAACAGATGAGAACTAACAATTCAGCAGAAGCCTGGAACAGACGCATCAGTAAGTTCATAAATATAAAATAAAAAACGAATTTTTACACCTGAATAATTTTCTGACTTCAGAATGTGTTTTTCAATGCTCACACCCGACGCTATGGAAATTTATTGAAAAAATTATCTTAGAAGAAGATTCAAATATTCATACCAAAATCGTTCGAGCCATTGCTGGCGAACCAGTTAATAAAAAAAAGAAGTATCAATATCTTGATCAACGATTATTTAATCTTGTTTCTAATCCTCATCAAATTATTATTGATCAAATTAATGCTATAGCACATAATATTATTCTATAATTTTTTTTCTTGCTTTCCTTACACACTTAATTGTTGTATTTGTGATCTTGAAATAAATACAGCAATTTTGTTTCTTCTGTTATGTCTTTGTACTCTCACTATCTTTCGAAGTATCAATAATAATTACTATGAATTTTCATCTCGTGCGCAAATGATCCGTGCGCATCTTGAAGTGCGCAAGTTTCCGTGCGTAAGTTTCGTCGTACGCAAGTTTCCGCGCGCAAGTTTCGCCGTGCGCAAGTGTCGTAGACCCCTATTTTGGGACACTTTTCTTTGGCAAAATTTTTCTTAAACTTCTAGAAATGCAATAAGGAAGTAGTTCATATGTCATCAAGAGACATTATTGATATACGATTTGTGAGTCCCAATTTTTACTTCTCTATTTCAATAGTCGTTTTAGATCGTATTTCATAAAAACACTTATGTACCAGGCATTCTTGATAAATTAAGCAAGAGTCTAGAGTCCTAAAAGGTAACTACAAGTTTCATGGTAATTTTAAGGCAGATTTTGTCTATCTAATAGTGTACTTATTATCAAGTTCTATTGCCTATTATTGAGATCTCAATAGAGGACGCCACATTCGCCATGGTTGTCATAGAATGCAATAAAAGTTGCATCCTCTATTGAGCGTTCCACATTGTGCAATAGAACTTGATAATACATTCACCATTAGATTGTGAAAAGCCTTCCTCTACAAATCTCCACACATATTCTGTCCTGACATTAAAACCTTATAGCTGCCTTTTTCTATCAAGAAAACTGAAATGTTCAAGAGTAATGCATAACTTTCGAAAAAGATTGATGAAAAAAAAACATAATAGAATAAATCGAAGATAAACAGATAGAATATTTTCTAGTAAACACTTGCTTATCTCGATATTTAAAACTGGTATCTTCTATAAGCTATCGATTTTGTTCTTCAATTATTTTTCTATTCATTCTCCTTTTATAACAAATATATACAGGAACATATACAAAAATACAAACTAATCGTCTATCACCAAGCGCTACAATCAACAAGAAAAAAAACCTTTCAAACCATTGTTAAATAATTAAAAGCAATAGTTCTTTTTTCGAAACTTTCACTTTTAATTGTTTTGATTTTAAGATAAAAAAGTTTTTGAAGAACGTCAATGAGAATGCACTTGAATTACATGAGAAAAAAACAATACTATAAATGACGATGTATTCTGTTCTGTTTTTTCTCT